CTAATTGATCAAGTTCCTCGATCATTCGATTTGCTGAATTTTTCAAATATAAACTTGCAGATCTATCTTCACTAATCGATTTATGAATTTTAGTTATCCATTTATAATATTTACGATGTTTTCTTTCTAAATTTATTAATTTTTCACTAAGATTCATTTTCTCATGTAATATTTTATTTATTTGTTTATAAAGATCATTAAGAAGTAAATTAAGATTATTTAATACTGGATAAGTATCATATTCATATTCAATTGTTAAAGATATATCATCTTTACCATTATTATGAAAAAGTTGAGAAAATTCATCTTGAAATTTTGTTAAAAGAAGAGATAAATCATTTAAAAATAATTTATCTTTATCATTTGAATTTTTCATTATTAATGATTTATAATTATTTATAAAATAATTTATTTGTTGTTCTAATTCATTTTTCGTATTATCTATTCGTGTTGATAAATCATTTTGTTTTGGAATATATTCTTTTTTATTTGGATTAGGAAAGTCTTGAAATAAATTTAATATTCGAGTTAAATACTCTATTTGTTCTTGTTTAGATCTTTCATATTGTTCGGTGAAAAAATCTCTATTTAATTGTATTTGACATTTTTGTTGAATAGAATCATGTTTTGTTTGATCATATAATTGACGTAAACGATTTAAATCCTCATGTAATGATGTTTGTTGAAGTTTTAATACTTTAACAACTTCTTCATGTTCGTTATTCTCTGATTTTTTAGCTTCAACACGTGGTGAAGTACTGTAAACAACTATATTTGGAAAAATAATTAGAATGAAATTTTATGTATTCATATCAAAATATAATATTACTATGTGAGCCAGATTCAATCGATGGAGTTTTCATTTTAGTTTTTGTCGAAGGAGAACGATTGATTGTTGTAGGCGAAGTAGAAAACATTGGTACTGTTGTAATACTATTTGAAAAAAGAAAACAGATAGAAAATGTAAAGTGTTCTATTTTTTTCAACTTACGTGTCTGGTGAATAAGTAAAACCTATAAAAGGTACTTGTTGAGAAAATCCACTATCAGATATAGACGCTTCAAAATCCTACAATAATTTATTTATTTAGTTGTAAGATTCAATGAAGAATATAAATATAAAGATATAGCAGACATGTACACACAGACTTGTTTTTTCTAAATATAATAGTTACCTTATCAGTTTTCTATGTAAACAAATGAAAAAGTTATGATATATTAAATAATAAATAAACAGAATCAATATACTTTGATATATGTTTCAACATCAACATCATCAAAGCAAGTTGTATCTGTTGGCTTCTGTTTATTCGGAGGATACGGCGGTATTACTATAAAAAAAACAAAATTAATATTATTATTTTATTTTTCTATGGTTACATTGACGAAGATTATTCCAATTAATCGAAATAAAAAATGGATGTTTCTTAAAATCATCAGTTCCATTCTTTCCAAGACGATCACTTGCTGGACACAATAATTTTTCTAATAAATCTTTCGCATTATCAGATACTTCAGTATCATCAGGAAATGAGAGTGGAATCTATACAAATAAATAAATTAATAAAATATATTCATAAATATAATTCACTTTATTTCGGCCATATTTCATGATCTGTGCATAAGTATCTTTTAAAGTATCAGAATAAAATGGAGGTTCACCAAATAACATCTCCCATATAACACATCCTAGACTCCACCAGTCACACTCAATTCCATAACGACCTTGACCATTATTCATTGCGTTCAATACTTCAGGAGATATATAATCTGGTGTACCAACAGCAATATTGTTCTGTACCTAAATAAAAAAAAGAATAAATTTGAAAACTATATACAAATCATGTAATTCACTGTTCCATCAGCTTTCATACGTAAAGATGAACCTGAAATAAGACATCGAATTTATTTTAAAAGAATCTAAAGAATTATATTACCAAAATCAGCTAAATGAATATGTCCATCACCATCAATTAATATATTATCAGGTCTTTCAAAAGAACAAAGAGAATTAATTTTGAAAATCTTCTATGAAATATATAAATACTTTATGTCTCGATGAATATATCCAAGTTTATGTATGGAATCAATTGCTAAGATCATTTCAGCAACATAAAATCGAGTTACTTCTTCAGTGAATTGATTATCATGTCTGGATAACAATGTTAATAGATCACCACCACAATAATATTCCATAATAAGATACTAGAAAGAAAAAAATATATTTTCAACAAGCATTTTTTAATTTTTAATACTAATTTATACTAAGTTTTTATGATCTTGAAATGCATAATATAGTTTTGTTATCCATTGTGGATCACCGGATACAAGAATATCATGCTCCTCACGAAAACAGACTGTATCTGCTTTTCTTAACATTTCTGATTTACTCATTACTTTCATTGCAAATATTTTCTCTGTATTTTTCATTTTTACAACAATAACTAAAGATTAATATATATGATAAAATAATGCAATCAATAGTAGACAAATACCTTCACCAATAGCACCTCTACCAATAGTTTTAATTGTTTCGAAATCATTTCGATTAATGCGATTTTGTTTTATACGAGATATAAATGTTCTAACTAGAATAAACAAATTAATAGTCAATATACATATAAACAAAATGAGAATTGTTACTATATTCAACAAATCCTGTTATTGCTGTTTCTCGTTTCCATTTAGTGCTACAACATTCATCATAAAGTACAAGCAATGCATCGAGTAATCCATCAATATTTAATACAGTTGAATCATTGATAGAATAATTTAATATGAGGCGTTTGATTTCTTCAGAACGAGATTCAACATTGACGATATTTTTTTCAACCATTTTTTAAATCATTTGGTGTTAACAGAAATAATAAAAACTCAGACTGATGTAAGAAAAAAATGATATTACTCCCTATGAGTCAGTTGTTATCTTTAAGGTATTATTTACGATGTGTAAAAAGCAGTCCAAACAAAATTTAGAATAGCATAGATTAGATAAAAGTCTGATGTAGTCGTTGGAAGAAAACTTAAATAAAGTAAAATTTTGTTTGACAACAATATCTTGATATGATATCACTTAAAGTTAAATAATAAATGTCTAACGACAACTAAGTTTTCTCATTTATATTTATTTCTCCAATAATATCAATTGGTAATTCCTTTCCTTGACATAAGACTGTAAAATATGAGCCATCTATTACATACAAACGTTTATATTTATCTTTTCTACTATTTTTTATGTTCATTAACATCAAACTACAATAATATAGAAATTTCTTTATTTAAATTGAACTAATAACAAGGGAAGGGTGAGTGTGGGTATGGGTGTAATTCATTTTTCTCATCTACATCCACATATGAGATGGATAACTTTTTGTAGTTAAACCAAGGGGGAAAAAGCGAGACTTCATCTACTTCAAAACTTTTTGAAGTACGATGGGAGTATATGTGAGTACAAGGGAGTACAATGGGAGTATGATGGAAGTACAAAGGGAGTATAATGGAAGTACGAAGGGAGTACGGGGGAGTACGAAGGGGAGTACAAAGGGACTACGGAAGTACGGAAGTCTCGCTTTTCTCCTTTGTAACACCATCACCCTTAGAACAAGAACATAATAAAAACTTAGGACTCTTTTATGTCATGATGTTTCGCGATCATAAAATTCGTGACGAGAAAATATAGTACTTAAAATGATCGAATTTTCAGTGTTTCAGAAGCTAAAAATAATTTTCTTATTTATGATAAATATGAAAATATTTCAACTTTTACATCAGAAAAAATAACAAGATTTAGGTCTAAAGAAGATTTTCATGGAGTAAGTTTTAGTCAATTTTAAATTTTATAAATCATTATATTAAAGTCAATTAATGTTAGATGAATTATTAAATCAAGATCTTTTTAATGCACAAGTTGAAACTGATATTTCTATATTTCAAACAATAACAAGATCAAATTTTCCTCGTTCATGAACGTCTATGCGTTCATTTATAAATAGCAATGAACTTTTGACTACTTCTTTAATATCTGCTACTACAAGTGTTTTACATGATAATACAGTCACATCATATGGATAAATTTAATCAATAACAAAAATTATTGTTGATTTTTTTTTGAAAAGTTTCATTTTCACATAGCACTATTTGATTGACAAACTTGTCCTCTTCATTTCTGACTATTCTAGTTTTCTGCTATTCATTGAAGATTTTGGATTTCTGGTTATTCAATTAGGATCGAGTCATATATTTCTTAGTAGTGATTGATAAACACCAATATACTCTATTGTGTTGATTTAACTTATATAAGTCATAGAACAATTTTGATTTTTCAGATTTGAAAATTAGTATCAATTTTAAATGAGTTTACTTCTTTTGCATATGATGTCATACATCGTTGTACTAAAATGAGAAATATATTCATGTACATTCTACTATCGATTTTGTAAGTATAATGAAAGATGTTTTTATAATTTATGCACATGGTGAAAATAAATGTGTTGTAAACTATGAAAACAATAAAAAACAAAATATATCTCAGGTAACGTCACATGTGACGATAATATTTCATGTAAATAAAACCATGTGCAATCTAAAGTAATTACGACGTTATAAAGAAAAAAAAAATAATAATCTCATCACACTAGTATCGAATTAAACGAGTCTATGAGTAATACTTAAATTATCGGTGAAAATT